TGTCTTGGCTATATGGGCTCTTTTTTGGTTCCATATGAAATTTAAAGTAGATTTTTTCTAATTCTGTGAAGAATGTCAATAGTATTTTGATGGGAATAGCATTGAATCTATAAAGCACTTTGGGCAGTATGGTCATATTCATGATATTGATTCTTCCTATCCATGAGAATGGAATGTATACTTGTTTGTGTCATCTCTTATTTCAGTATGGTGAATATTCTATTGACCAAGTGGATGAATCAGGATAAATCTTGATTATCTAATGCCAATTCCCATCCCATCTTTGTTGTAATAATCTTCTGCACTTTGGAAATCACTGAACTCATTGATCCAGGTAGTAAATACCATAAACTACAATGTTTGGTCCTTATCTGAACAGAATATACTATACTTCATTGTTTTCAAGCAAGTATAAAAAAACAGAATCCTAAATACAGATGTATCATATATAATATCATATCTGTAGTGTTTGTATTGCTTTAGAGACAGTAAACACATTAATGTTGGATTGATTAAATAAAGCTTTATAAATATATGAGACTTAACAATATTCAAACTTGACCAGATGGAACGAGCTACCTTGGGAGGCGGTATATATCCTATAACTTGAGGTTTTCCAGCAGATGATATAATCCCTTTAAGCAGACTGACAATAAACATAATTTAAAACTAAGGAAATTCACTACTTTGTATTACCATTAAAATTACCTTTAATCCTGATTCTATAGTATTTTCAAACTTGGCCCTCTGGAAAGATTAACTCAAAAACATCAGCTTTTAAATTATTATTTTAAATTAGTATTATTATTTAAATTATTATTTTAAATTATTGTAAGAACCACATAACCTTTAATTTATAATACTGACCACTCTTAAGTGTAGTGTTCAATAGTGTTAAGTATATTACATTTTTGTGAAACAGATACCTAGATGAGTTTTTCATCTTGAAAAACTGAAACTATATATACCCAATAAACATTAATTTCCCCTCCCTCATCTCTCCAGCCCTAGGCAACTACCTTTCTACTTTCTGTTTCTATAAGTCTGCCTACTTTAGATACTTTATAGGAGTGGGATCACACAGTGTTTGTCCTTTTGTGACTGGCTTATTTTGCTTAGCATAATACCCTCAAGGTCCATTCATGTTAGCATATGATAGGATTTCCTTTTGTTCCTAAGGCTCGTAATATATGTGTGTGTGTGTGTGTGTGTGTGTGTGTGTGTGTGTGTGTGTGTGTGTATAACATTTTCTTTATCCATTCTTCTGTTAATGAACATTTGGGCTGCTTCCACCACTTGGCTATTGCAAATAAGGCTGTGATGAACATGGCTATGTAAATATTTCTTCCAGATCCTGCTTTGAATTCTTTTGGATATTTACCCAGAGGTAGAATTGCTGGATCATATGATAATTCTATTTTTAAGATTTTCAAGAATCTTTATACTGTTTTTCATAATGGTGGCACCATTCCCACCAACAGCGTACAAGCATTTCAATTTCTGCATATCTTTATCAACACATTATTTTCTGTTCTTTTGACAGCAGGCATCCTAATGGGTGTGAGATGATATTTAATTGTTGTTTTGATTGGCATTTCCCTCATGATTAGTGGTGTTGAGTATTTTTCATAGGTGTGTTGGCCATTTGTATATTTTCTTTGGAGAATTGTCTATTCAAGTATTTTGTCCATTTTTAATTGTGTTACTTGTTATTTGTTGTTGAGTTTTAGAAGTTCTTTATATATTCTAGATATAAATCCTTCACATATATATGACTTGCAAATACTTTCTCCAGTTCCATTGGCTGTCTTTTCACTCTGGTGATTGTGTTCTTTGATGTACAGAAGTCTTTAAGTTTGATGCAGTATAATTTGTTTATTTTTGCTTTCAGTTTCCTGTGCTTCTGGTGTCATATTCAAGAAATTGTTGCCAAATCCAATGTGTCCTGACATTTTTCTATTAGTTTTATAGTTTAAATCTTACATTTTCTATAGGAGTTATAAAGTCTTACTTATATCTGTAATCCATTTTGAGTTAATTTTTGTATATAGTATAAAGTAAGGGCCCAGTTTTATTCTTTTGCATGTAGATATCCAGTTTTCTCACCACCATTTGTTAAAGAAACTATCCTTTCCCCAGTGGTAGTTGTAGCTCCCTTATTTAAAATAATTTGCCATATATGCAATGGTCTGTTTCTAGGATCTACATTCTGTTTCATTGATGAATATATCTATCTGTCTTTATGCCAGTACCACACCATCTTGATTGCTGTTGCTTTGTAGTAAGCTTTGAAATCAGGATGTCTGAGGCTTCTAAATTTGTTCTTATTCTCCAAAACTGATTAGGCTATTTAGTGTCTCGGAACTATCACTTTTAAGATAAGGATCATGGGAAGCATTTAATGTAAACATATAGAGACAAGAGGATTCTCATTCTGCTCTCATTCCATAAAACAAACAAACATAAAAATCTTCTTTCCCATAGGTGAGTGGCATTCAGAAAAAGAAGTTTCCTTCTAAATATCAGAAAGAACAGTTACTAGAAAAATAGAGCTGAGCTACAAAATTATTATTAATTCTAAGGTGCAGCTATTTAAGAGTATAAATATATACCATAACCTAAAAATAATTAAGAGCAATGCTGAAATTCTCTAAAACACATAATTATTCTATTCTATCAAAGTATACTAAATGTATCATAATTGAAAGGACTCATACGTTATTTATTTATTTTTATTTATTTTTTTGAGATGGAGTCTTTCCCTGTCACCCATGCTAGAGTACAGTGGCGCTATCTCAGCTCACTACAACATCCAACTCCCAGGTTCAAGCAATTCTCCTGCCTCAGCCTCCCAAGTAGCTGGGATTATAGGCACACACTACCACACCTGGCTAATTTTTGTATTTAGTAGAGGTGGGCTTTCACCATATTGGCCAGACTGGTCTCAAACTCCTGGCCTCAAGTGATCCACCTGCCTTGGCCTCCCAAAGTGCTGGAATTACAGGCCTGGGCTACTGCCACCAGCCCCATAAATTATTAATATCTAATCAGTCTCTCTCTTGAGATTAGGGTTTAGATTAGGAAACTGAGGCACACAGATAGTCTAAGTGACTTGCCCGAGAACACTCAAATAGTAAGTGTACAAAGACAATAATCTAACATCTCTGTTTCCAGTTATGACTTACTCTTACACAATTCTTCTTTATGAGTCTGATATGTGTCCTACAGTCAAATGTGTTTCTACCTTGTTACCTCTCTGCTCTTGCTGAAAGAAACCTAACTTTCTGCCCCCACCCATTGTGGTACCTGCATAATATTTACTTAGTCCCTTAATCAACCAGTTCTAATTCATAAGATTGGCTAGACTCTGTTTTCTGCTGAAAAAGATAAAATATCAAACAATTAAAACAGTATTAAAACAAAGATATTCCTAAATGCATTTAGTGCTCTACTCATTTCTCCAAATGCATGCAATATCTAGAGCATTTACCTATCAATCCTTTCATATATAACTATCCCATTTCATCCTTTTTATATTCCTATAGTATAGTCACAATAGGTATAATCTCATTGTATCTCATTTCAGGCACAATAAAAAGTCATTTAATGTGCCTGAGGTCACATGACTAATTTGTGATAGAGCCAAGATACAAATCCTGGTTTCTGACTTCGGATCTTTTGTTCATTCCATTCTACCACACTGTCCTATTTTTGATATTACACTTTGTTCTCCACAAATATGCCGCATCTCCTCTCAAGGTATTTTCTTAGTTGTTCCCATGTTATTTCAAATTTAAGATGTCATAATTGAATTAGTTAACTCTATCTATCCATTAGTCAGCTTTCCTCCAAATAACCCCATTTATGCTCTGATACCACCTAACTCTCAATTTACTCAGTCACCAAGTCCTGTCAATTATTTCTTTAAGATTCCTCATTTCTCTATAAGTTGATTAAAAATTTTCATTGTTTCTCACTAGGACTCTGGAATATCAAATCTCCAAACTTTACGTTTTGTATATTATGTTTATTTAAACACAGAATACATCCCTAAAAAATACTCTCAATTATTTTAAATTGTTCAAAGGAAAAACAGGAATAAAACAAAGAAAGAAACCATATTAAATATGAAGTATTCATCATTAAAGGTCTAAAGTTTTCATTAATATCTTCATTTTTATTTTCCAAATGTTAATAAAAATATCCTCAATAAAATAAATTCAAAACTTGCAATTAATTTCAATAGCATGAATATCTACTATTTGCCAAGCAGTACTAAGCATGTTCATATTCAGGATCTCATTAAAATTTCAAAGGTACCCTATAAGATGAGGAAATGGAAGCTTTTAGCGTTTAAGCAGCATAAGCTAGCAATATGCTCTCCAATTATGAAATCAAAAGTTTCTCTAATATATTTTTCAGCATTTATTTAATTTAGCTGCCTGGAAGGTTGGCACATTCGTATCCCACTTAGGACTAATGACTTCATTTTCAGGAAGCAAAAATACAAATATCCTTGCGAACAGCCAGGAAGTCCAAAAATGTGTTTTCCAAGTATTCATGAGCCCAGCATGGATGTCCACCCTCCCTCTCTTCTTTTGGAAAAGAAACAGTCTCATTGCCAAATTAGATAACTTCCTTTCCTGGATACACATTTTGCATTTTATTACTGTCTCAAATAGTTAACATCTTCCAGGTTAAATGAAAGTATTTTTCAAGAGAGGAAAGTGAAATAGCTTACAAAATGATTGTGTGATAACCAGCACCTTAAGACTACCTACTAAAACACAGAACCCAAAATGAAACACACAACTACTCAAAATGATACACATTCAGTGTCAGCTTAGAAGCCTGAGAACCCAATTTGCTGACCAGGCCAAAGCTAGAAATTAGGTTACACATTTCCTTTTCCTTCTTTAACACTACTAGCACTATCCACAGAGAACAAGACAAATCTTACCCATGAAGCCTAGTAAGAAAGAAAACAATGTAACACTTACAGTTGTCGTCTCATCAGTTTCATTTTCAAAACACTGATTTTCTTTATTTTGCTCAATATATGAAGCATTTTCCTTTGGTCCACTGCAATCTGTAAGCTAAAATAAAAGTTGAAAAAATCAATACTACTTTTTTATTTTCTGCAATGTATATTGTTTTCAAACTTTGAATATACACATTAAAATATCTAAGGCCTGAATAAATATTATTAGATGTTGCTTTTTTTCAATTTTAGCATATGAATATACTATCTAACCCATTTTTATATTGCTCCCAAAGAGAAAACATAAAATGGGACAGTTATTCAAAGGCAAATTTTAAATTTCAAAGGTTTCCAGCAGGGAGTGTTGAACATGGACTATTCAAAAGTAAATTGATGATCTGGTTAAAGCTGAGCTTGGTTAATGGGAAGATGAAGATAGAGGGCTGATTTCACTTTATGTAAGTTCTCATACTTGTAGAAATCTCTGTGGAAGCTATTGTAGCTCTCAGAACTAGCAGTGGCACTGACTGCCTTTGCTTTGGGCTATCTTTTTATAACTACAGCTTTAGATGATAAAAATAATGTCTACTTTCAAAGCAAAGGGTAGGTTTGCTTACTGACCATTATAAAATAGGTGTTACCTAAACTGAGGGAACACAACCTACAACATGACCCATTGCATATGACTGTATCATGTGACCATCTTTGCCTTGCACTGTAAAAACTGGGACTTGATAAATTGGTACAAGAAAATGTTGATACTCTACTGCTGTTGTTGCAAGTAATTAGTCTCTGTCCTACAATTTTTTTGGCAGCATCGATGAAATTGTGCCAGACTAAATTCTTAGTTTGCAAGTAGGATACAATCTTAAACTCCTCACAGTTCTTAACAGTGACAAGGATGGAACGCTGACAGATTCATAGTGTTCTGGAAGAGGAAGGATCAGACTTCTAAGCTGATGAAAGGGTTTTGTGGAACATCTTTAGGAACTGGGTAGTAAACATGCTGACCACATTGAATGTTTGACTGCATAATAAGAATTCCTCACTTTAGGCCAGGCACAGTGGCTCACGCCTATAATCTCAGCACTTTAGAAGGCCAAAGAGGATGGATCACCTGAGGTCAGGAGTTTGAGACAAGCCTGGCCAACGTGGCGAAATCCTATCTCTACTAAAAATATAAAAATTAGCCGGGCATGGTGGCATGTGCCTGTAATCCCACTTACTCAAGAGGCTGAGGCAAGAGAGTCACTTGAACCAGGGAGGTGGAGGTTGCAGTGAGCCATGGCACTCCAGCCTGGGTGACAGAGCAAGACTGTCTCAAAAAAATAAAATTAAAAATAAATCCCTCACTTTAATGCACATTAATGAGAAATTTCTGAAGTGGTTGCAGGCCAGGACAGCTCCCAAAGGGTTTTTGCCCACTCTCCACTGGCTGGGAGAACTTCCTCACCAACCTACCGGTCAGCCTCAGTTTCTAAGATTCACTCTAAAAGGAGTGGGTGAGCAGAAATTTCCACTCCTTTTCAGGCAATAGCTATAGAGACATGTACCTGCACTGGTTGTGAAAGGAGAGAAATTTGCAACCACTGTGGACAGAAAGATTTATCTGATTCTAGTCTATTGTAGATGCTCCTCTTCTCTGCTCCCATAGTTTACATCTATCATTGTAATTAGCATATTACAAATTACATAAATGTGTATGTGTATATATATATATGTGTGTGTGTGTATCTGATACATGTGTGTCTATGTGTGTTTATCTGTCCCATTAGAGTACCTCGGAAGACAAGCAGGATATCTTACTGTTTTTCAGTCTCCAGGATCCATATATATTTGTTTAATAAATGAAAAATAAAGATTAAATTAGATGAAAAATTGATGCACAGGTAGATGAATAAACTGAGAAGATGTTTCGTCTCATGAAGAGCAGTGTCAGACTCAACCACTTTGGGATACTCAGGTAGCCTCTGTATCAGAAACATAGAGCTCTTTATTTTGTGCTCCCCCTTTTGGGCCACTCCTCTTTGGTCCCATGAACTATCCAAACAAATCAGAGCCATCAATCTGACTATCTCTCTCATGTAGATGTATATAGTAAGGACCTGTCCTGTGATGAGACCCACTGGAATCAAGATGCTGATTGAGCCTGCAATGCCACCATTGCTCCATTGCTACCTGGATCCATCATCATACTGAACATGGCGGCACATCCTCCATCATAGACTAAGCACAAAGTAAACGACTACCTCCCAGGCAGAGGCTACCTGTGTGTCCTAAGGTGGTTGAGCTCAGCATTTCTCTTAGCCAGATCAGAGCCCTTATTCATGGTTCATATATTTATTCATCTATCTATGCATCTCTTTGTGATAGTTAATACTGAGTGCCAACTTGATTGGATTGAAGGATGCAAAGTATTGATCCTGAATGTGTCTGTGAGGTTGTTGCCAAAAAAGATTAACATTTGAGTCAGTGGGCTGGGAAAGGCATCCTTAATCTGGGTGGGCACCATCTAATCAGCTGCCAGTGCAGCCAGAACATAAAGCAGGCAGAAAAACGTGAAAAGATTAGACTAGCCTAGCCTCTCAGCTTACATTCTTCTCCCATGCTGGATGCTTCCTGCCCTTGAACATTAGACTCCAAGTTCTTGAGTTTTGGGACTTGGACTGGCTTTCCTTGCTCCTCAGCTTGCAGATGGCCTATTGTGGGACTTTGTAATCATCTTAGTTAATACTTAATAAACTCATATATATATGTGTATGTATATGGTTCTAGAGGTACAGAATATTAAGGATGAAGTCCTTTCATTGGTTTGGAGGTTTCTGGAGTTGGATGCTTAACATTATTACACCCAAAAATGCCAAGGACTCTACTTCCAGTAGTATGGAGAACACTGATAGTCCTTGGCATGAACTGTTTAGAGAGTTATGCAAAATGAATGCATTTGACATTCCTGATTCACCATTCGTGAGAGGCAAGGAGTTTAGTGACTCTATACATAATACCTTTGACTATATGTGGAGAATCAAGGAATATAACGAAGCTGGTTGGTTGCTCCTGAGTTCAGTGGACAAAGTGATGAAAGGAAATGATGAAATCAGGGATTCTAATCCCAGCTTCAGAAGCAGATACTGAGCCTCAAATTTGCTAAGATTGCCCTGAGTGAAAGTCTTATCTCCTGTAGAGAAAGACATGAAATTGTGGGAAAACAGACACAAGCCCTTAAAGTGAGGGCACTGATTGGAAAAGAATGGGACCCTGCAACTTGGAATGGCAATGTTTGGGAGGCCTCTCATGAAGCTGGGGACACTGAGTTTGTAAACTCTGAAAAACTTTTATTGCCAAAAGATATAGCTTCCCCACTCCCAGTAGTGGCAACATCCCCTCCCTGACCCATGCTGCCATCAGTCTTTCCACCTTTGTCTGAGGAGATAAACCCTTCGCTGCCTGAGGAAAAGTGGTGCCTCCCCTGAGGCAGTTGCCAGGCAAGATAATGTTGATTCTCCTCAGGAGCCATCCGCAACAGCCCTGTTTGCTTCTAGACTTATAAGTAGACTAACATCCCAGTGGGCCCTACAGGTGAGGCTCAGAGTGTGACCTATGAGGAGGTACACTATACTCAAAAAGAACTACTTGAATTTTCTAATTTATATAAACAGAAATCTGAAGAACAGACATGGGAATGGATATTAAGGGTGTGGGATAATGGTAGAAGGAACATAGAATTGGATCAGGATGAATTTATTGATCTGGGCCCACTAAGTAGGGATTCTGCATTTAGTGTTGCAGCTCGAGTGAAAAAAAAGGTTGTAATAGTTTATTTGCTTGGTTAGCTGAAATATGGATTAAAAGACCTACTGTGAGCAAGCTGGAAGTGCCTGATCTCCTTTGGTGTACTGTAGAGGAAGGGATCCAAAGGCTTAGGGAGATTGGGATGGTGGAGTGGATTAGTCACTGTAGATCTACTCATCCCAGCTGGGAGGGTCCAGAAGATATATTCTTGACCAATGCCTTGCAAAATAGATTTGTGAGGGCAGCACCTGCATCTTTGAAGGGCCCTGTAATTGCTCTTCTCTGTATGTCAGATCTAACAGTGGGAACTGCAATCACTGAACTACAAAATTTAAATACAGTGGGAATAATGGGATCCCGAGGTGGCAGGGGCCAAGGGGTAGCACTCAACCTTCAAAGGCAAGGTGGGCATAGCTTAATAGACAGCAGAGGCAAAATCGCAATCAGAATAGTCTGACTCATGTAGAGCTCTGGCACTGGCTAACTAATCATAGTATTTCTATAAGTGAAATTGATAGGAAGCCTACTGCATTCTTACTTAATTTATACAAGCAGAAAACTTCTAGGTCAAATGGACAAAAGACTAATTTGAATTGTAAAAACAAGGATTCATGGCCCCTCAGTTTCCAAACTTGAATCAGTTTACAGACCCAGACCCCTTGAATGAAGGGGAGGTCGGGTCCCCTTGAGGAAGGATGCCACTACACTACCAACAATTTATGCTGTTAATTTTTCTCTCTCCATCCCCAAGGAGACCTTCAGCCTTTTACCAGGGTATCTGTGCACTGGGGAAAGGGAAATGTTCAGACATTTCAGGGATTACTGGACACTGGCTCTGAGCTGACGTTGATTTCAGGGGACCCAAAAGGTCATTGTGGTCCTCCAGTTAAAGTAGGGGCTTATAGAGGTCAAGTAATTGATGAAGTTTTAGCTTGGGTCTGACTTACAGTGGGTCTGGACTCATCCTGTGGTCATTCCCCCAGTGCCAGAAGGCATAATTGGCATAGACATACTTGCAAACTGGCAGAACCCCCACATTGGCTCCCTGACTGGTAGGATGAGGGCCATTATGGTAGGAATGCCAAATGTAAGCCATTAGAGCTCCCTCTACCTAGAAAAACAGTAAATCAAAAACAATATTGCATCCCTGGAGGGACTGTGGAGATTAGTGCCAACACCAAGGACTTGAAAGATGCATGGGTGGTAATTCCCACTACATCCCCATTCAACTCTCCTATTTGGCATGTGCAGAAGACAGATGGATTTTGGAGAATGACAGTGGATTATCGTAAGCTTAACCAAATGGTGACTCCAATTGCAGCT